CCCCTTCCATAAATAACGACCGGTCCCTAAATGGTATTATAATCTGATACAGTCATCCAAATATCAAAAATTAAAACATACATTTCGGCAAGATTCCAATCCCAAATAGTATAATTACTGTGGGATTGGTATTATAGTCTGACACAGTCATCCATTTATAAAAAATTAAAACATGCATTTCAGGAAAATTTCCAATCCCAACTAGTATAATTACTATGGGATTGGTATTATAGTCTGATACAGTCACCCAGATACAAAAAATTAAAACGTGCATTTCGTCAAGATTCCAATACCAACTAGTATAATTACTGTGGGATTGGTATTATAATCTGATACAGTCATCCAGATACCAATAAATAAATAAAACATGCATTTCGTTAAGATTCGAATCCCAACTAGTATAATTACTGTGGGATTGGTATTACAGACTGATACAGTCATTCAGATACCAATAAATAAAACATGCATTTCGTTAAGATTCCAATCCCAACTAGTATAATTACTGTGGGATCGGTATTATAGTCTGATACAGTCATCCAAATATCAAAAATTAAAAAATGCATTTCGGCAAGATTCCAATACCAACTAGTATAATTACTGTGGGATTGGTATTATAGTCTGATACAGTCATTCACATACCAATAAATAAAACATGCATTTCATTAAGATTCCAATCCCAACTAGTATAATTACTGTGGGATTGGTATTATAGTCTGATACAGTCATCCAGATACCAACAAATAAAACATGCATTTCGGCAAGATTCCAATCCCAACTAGTATAATTACTGTGGGATTGGTATTATAATCTGATACAGTCATCCAGATATCAATAAATAAAACATGCATTTCGTTAAGATTCCAATCCCAACTAGTATAATTACTGTGGGATTGGTATTATAGTCTGATACAGTCATTCAGATATCAATGAATAAAACATGCATTTCATTAAGATTCCAATCCCAACTAGTATAATTACTGTGGGATTGGTATTATATTCTGATACAGTCATTCAGATATCAATGAATAAAACATGCATTTCGTTAAGATTCCAATCCCAACTAGTATAATTACTGTGGGATCGGTATTATAGTCTGATGCAGTCATCCAGATATCAATGAATAAACATGCATTTCGTTAAGATTCCTATCCCAACTAGTATAATTACTGTGGGATTGGTATTATAGTCTGATACAGTCATCCAGATACCAATAAATAAAACATGCATTACGTTAAAATTCCAATCCCAACTAGTATAATTACTGTGGATTTGTATTATAGTCTGATACAGTCATCCAGATACCAATAAATAAAACATGCATTTCGTTAAAATTCCAATCCCAACTAGTATAATTACTGTGGGATTGGTATTATAGTCTGATGCAGTCATTCAGATATCAATGAATAAAACATGCATTTCGTTAAGATTCCAATCCCAACTAGTATAATTACTGTGGGATTTCGGTATTATAGTCTGACACAGTCATCCAGATACCAATAACTAAAACATGCATTTCGTTAAGATTCCAATCCCAACTAGTATAATTACTGTGGGATTGGTATTATAGTCTGATACAGTCATCCATTAATAAAAAAATAAAACATGCATTTCGGCAAGATTCCAATCCCAACTAGTATAATTACTGTGGGATTGGTACTATAGTCTGATACAGTCATCCATATACCAATAAATAAAACATGCATTTCGTTAAGATTCCAATCCCAACTAGTATAATTACTGTGGGATTGGTACTATAGTCTGATACAGTCATCCATATACCAATAAATAAAACATGCATTTCGTCAAGATTCCAATCCCAACTAGTATAATTACTGTGGGATTGGTAATATAGTCTGATACAGTCATTCAGATATCAATGAATAAAACATGCATTTCGTTAAGATTCCAATCCCAACTAGTATAATTACTGTGGGATTGGTAGTATAGTCTGATACAGTCATCCAGATACCAATAAATAAAACATGCATTTCGTTAAGATTCCAATCCCAACTAGTATAATTACTGTGGGATTGGTAATATAGTCAGATACAGTCATACAGATACCAATAAATAAAACATGCATTTCGCTAAGATTCCAATCCCAACTAGTATAATTACTGTGGGATTGGTATTATAGTCTGATACAGTCATCCAGATACCAATAAACAAAACATGCATTTCGTTAAGATTCCAATCTCAACTAGTATAATTACTGTGGGATTGGTATTATAGTCTGATACAGTCATCCAGATACCAATAAACAAAACATGCATTTCGATGGCCTTTGCTAGATTCCTTCATGCTATTTCGTTCAGCGTTTTCAAAAATCTTTCTTAAAATAGGCCTCACAGACGCACTTTTCTTATTACCACACAGTGTGTTAATGTTCTCTTTAATCTGATCATTTTGATCTACAAAATCTGAAATCGTATTTTCAAAATAGTCTGTAATTTTTCGTTGACCAGGCAAAGCTGACGCTTTCATTAAAGCCCGCTGTTTTCGGTAATCTCTACAGAACCAGCGGGCTGTTGCAAGTTTTTTGCACTCTCCTACAAAGGAAAATAATAGTTGACAAATTTGGACAATAACATTGTCAATGTCAATGACGCTAATAAACGCAAAATATATTACACGGCTTAGAATATAATGTTTACTTTTTCTGAGATTTCTCCTTCCTTGTCACTGTGGTTGAGGACTTCATCTATATCTAAAAAACAAGTAGTTTCACTTATATCGCGAGTGACATATTAGGAAGAAATAGAAAAAGACCCCAGTTGGATAAAAAACACATTTATTTGGTCACAATTTCATTAGACCTCATCATAAATTCTCATCATTTCATATA